CGGCGACATGCACATAGAGAGTGGCACCCTGAACCAAAACTACTGCCACATCATTTTGCAGCACCATGCAATACCCTCTAGTGAACACCTGGTTGGTCAGGGGTTCATCTTACAGCAAGATAATAACCAAAAACATACATCCAGGCTGTGTCAGAACTACCTTAGAAGAAAAGAAAAAACTGGTAGGCTTCAAATCATGGAATGGCCAACACAGTCTCCAGACCTTAACCCCATCGAGCTGGTTTGGGTTGAACTGGGCAGAAGAGTGAAAGCAAAGCAACTTACAAGTACAACACATTTTTGGGAACTTCTGCAACAGTTTTGTGAAGAACTTTCTAAACAATATTTGATTTCCTTTGTAGAAAGAATGCCACAAGTGTGTTCGGCTGTTATTTCTACAAAATAAGGCTACTCTAATGACTCATGCATTTACAGGGTTATTCACTAACAGAGAAGAGATTGGAGAAGGCAGGAGAAGTGAACAATCTGGGACAACATAGCTGAACTGGAAAGTGAACTGAACTGGAGAATTGTTCTAAATCAGATAAGTTGTCCTAGATTGTTCAATTCTCCTGCCTTCTCCAAACTCTTCACCCTTTTGTGAATAACCCTGTTAGATTTCATTTTGTTAAAGAAAACAAATCCATGATTTGTTTTGGATGTCCAATTGTTTATTTGTTCTATGCTTTATTTTCAGAGTACATTGAGACATTAAACTGCATGAATTTACATATATTAACAATAAAAACTGGGAAAAATGGGAGTGTTCTAAAACTTCTGTCACACACACACACACCCACACACACACACACACACACACACACACACACACACACACACACACACACACACTATAAAAACAACAAAGCAAGTATAGAGGTACTCGCAGATCAATCGGCTAAGTCAAAGCATCACCATTTTATTGTCAGTCCATATGTGTAAAGTCTTGATAAACGCTTGCTTTTAGTACCAGTTTAGCTAAAAATATAACACTGAAATGTGGTCACTTTTAATCATGCTTATTTTACATAAGGGGCTTACTGAAGTTTTATTATGTCCCCAGGGGTGCAGTAACAGCTGTACATAACAATAATTCCAAGCATATAAATCAATTAATCACCACCAAGCAGCCAAAGTAAAAATTGGTATAAAAGCACAGAACCTGTAAAATATATCAAAACATCAAATACATCTACAAGTAGTTTGGGCAAAGCAACCCCAAATACATAGTCAACACTTAGGACTTATTTTTTACGTTCTGATGTAGATTTGAAGCTTACCAGTCAGCTGATTTTGTTTGGGAACTGCATAAAGACTAAGTCTACAATTACAGTTTCGTTTCTGCTGCGAGTGTTGCCTCGGTGCATCTGTATAGACATATTCAATAGATGATGAAGATAAAATGCAGTTCTGTTTGATGACAATAAAAAGAAAATGCATAAAACATAAATACAAATATATAAATAAAATAACAATAATAATTATTATTATCATCTTCTATCTATCTATCTATCTATCTATCTATCTATCTCAGTCCAAATTAGACAAATTGTATGTTTTTAAAAAAAAATGTAACAATTTTGGCCAGTGGTATATACTGTATAGTGCACCAGGTGATGACATAGACCACAGATATTTTTCAAAAAATGACCTCATGCACTTACTCCGTGGTACTATTCAACTATGTTTTATAAGATTGTCACTGACATATGTGCTTAATAAGTGTAATGCTTAATAATTTAATGAGAAATTTGGGGATTTTATTTATTTGTAGTTTTTTTTTAATCAATTATTATTTGTAGCTTTTACAATTGAAAGAAAAACTCTTCATGGGAATTAAAATACAATTCTAGCATGGCCCCAAGTGAAGTCAGAGCTGCGGTACATACTTGTTCCATGTACTGTATGTGGTTCATAAAACACTAAAGCCTGAGCGTCAGTATTACAGCCAGGCAACATTGGCAGCCTTTGTATTGTTTTTAATGCAAATGTCCCTTACTGATAGAAAGGGCGGCCATGTTGAATAATTCTGCATGTCAGTGTGTGTGAAGAGATGCCTCCCAACTCTATAATGTTTATCTTTTTGGAAGTTAAAGATTTGAACAGGGGCTGATAAGACTGTGTATTTTCTACAGGCAATAGGATCATAGCACGAAAAATGAAAAGTGATATGTACGCCTTTTCAGCCAGCTCTATAAACCTGCAATATGACTGCAGAGGTGACACATTTGATTGAATATGTTTATGTCATGTTTTATAATGTCTGCATAGGTGATGAATACAGCGTCAGTACAGACAGTGCTTAGCAATGTTCCAGCTTCTAAACAATGACTAAGTGCATAGAACGCAGAATATTGCCAAAATGACAGAGTGTCCCGCCCACAAGAGCTAGCACTCTAAATAAAATATAATGCAACTTAGCTTTGGATGGAGTTGAGAGGGACAGGAACCCCTCTCAGGTTTTTATTGTTGTCTGTTTCCCTGGTAGAGAGATTCACCCTCTCTATTTGTCCTGGGGACTATTATCACTGAAAGTGAAAGAAAATCTCAAATTGTGGGTTGTCATCAGAACAGGAATGAATTTGAAATCTTCCAATCGGTATGATTCTGCTGACCACCGGGATTTCCCTTACTTTGGGGGGATTTCCTTTCACTTCCTGTTGTGGCTATTGGACAGGAAGGGAAGAGAAATTTCCCCCATGGGACACAGATGGCAGAAAAGAGCTGACAGGGGTTATAACCACCTCTTGGTCTATCTAAAACTGAAAACTAATTTGGCTTCAGTTCTACTTTAAAGTGCCATAGCTAAGAGCAATCTAAAGTATATATAAAGCCCATACTCTTTTTTTAATAGAGTAGTAAAGGGTTAAAGTCTTCTGTCAGCTTTTTGTGTCTATGTTCCATTAGAGATATTTACCTTCACTTCCTGACTCAAATGAGGAATTAATTACAATGTGTCTGAGACAAGTTCTATCTCAACTGGTGCAGATGCCCATAGCAACCAATTAGCTTCTATCTTTCATTTTTTTCATGCAGCTTAATATGTAAAATCTGATTGGCTGCGCTGCAGTTGAAACAAACTTGAGACAACCGGGTTGATTTACTAACGGCAAATAGGCTGTTGACTTTGCAAGGAAACTTGCTCTTTAAAGCGTCATTTTCCATTAGCTTAGTGAATGAGGTGAAGCTTCGCCGACATCCATCATCCAATCATGTGCAAGGAAAAATGCTGTTTTTTTTTCTTTTTTAGGTTTCCATTGCATCTGTTTGGGTATTCTTTGCAAAGTGAATTTTCACCACATTCACTAAGCAAGGGAAAATTCCCTTACAAAGTGAACAAACTATTTGCCATTAGTAAATCAACCCCAACGTTTTCTTCTCTATGACTAAGCCTCATCACTGGGTGAAACATGTCAGAGTGAAGAGGATCCATGGCGGGACAATGTGTACCTGTGTGCTATAATAAACATTTTAGCGACGCTTGCGGTGTGTGACTGGACTTGTTTTTCTGTGAGAAACCCCATAGTTTGTCTCAGACAGTTTTGATTAATTCCCCCATAAACACAAAAGGAAGTGGGAGATAATGTCTTCAAGTTGAGGGAAATCCTCTCCTAGTCACTGTAGCAATTATTACCATTGGAAGACTTCCCTTCTATTCTTGTTCTGATGACAAGTCATAATGTTGGGATTTTCCTCACTGTCAGCCCCAGTGACAATGCTCACCGGGAGGGGAAACAGACAGCAATAGAAACTTGCCAGGGTTACTGACGCTTCCCTTCTATATCCAAATGAAATGTTTTGTCTTTATATATCAGGTATAGTACACCTTGTGCTCCTGTATGTGGTAGGCATACCTTTATATGTATGACTGAGTGCATTAAGCTGAAGGGTTAATAGTCTGGGTAATATGATTTTCTTCATAGATCATTCATTTCTAATCTAGGACAGTTTTCTTATCAATTACTTACATATATAAATCTGTAGCTCATATTGTATTTTTAATATCAACAGTAGTCTGTCAAATTAGAAAAGCAATGTAAGAAACATTGCAATTTGCATATTACTCTCTACATAATGGCACTGCATAGGTCACTCATCCTGAGAAAGGTTGGTGAGTATATACACATATATATACATAACAATTGATGGTAATTTCATTATAACTGGATACATAACAACTGGGAAACATTGCTCTGAAGCTATATCTTAAATCTCATATATATGTATAAAGTTTTTATTAACTCTGTTAATGTGAATTGCTGTAAAATTGCTTGGTAAGTAACCATCATGTATGACATATTTATTATTTTCTCATCTTCCACTCTTACATTGTATCCATCCATTGCTTGATGAAAGCCAAGTGGTTCCCTCCAATAAGGAAAAGAAAAAAAAAAGACACTCCCAGAATCATTTTCCTATTGGCTACACAGCTGTGGGCGGGGTTTCATTTCACCGCCCATATAATTTACATAGGAGGGGCTGGTCTAAAAAATAACGTGACTTCAGTCGTCACAGCCCTGTCGTTTAGCCCCGCCTCTCGTGACGTCACCAGCTCCGGGAAGCAACGCGAGAGTTGTTCAGGTAAGCTCACACCCTTCATTTTAACTATAATAGGGGGGTGGGCGAGCAGGACCTGCTTTGGGGTGCAGTTGAAAGCCTTTGGCACCCCAAAATTAAGTGGACCCCTTATGGACTGTGCAGAATATTCATAAGGGTGACTTATAAAGAGCCCTAAAAATACAATGAAAGGGGGCGTGGCCTGATAGTGGACACTTGGTGAATGCAAATTATAGGGTCCGTGACGTCACTTCCTACGTATATACCCGGCCGCCATTTTCTGGTTGTGAGAGAGTCGGGGGGAAGGCATCTCGGTGGCGGGAGAAGAGCAGACACGGCCAGCACGCCCACCCAATCGGTGACTGCGGACCTTGTCTGTCCTCCTGGAAGGAAGGGGGCGGGGACGGCGGCTTGTACCGGCAGGAAGAAGCGTTTGTAGGAGGCGGACTTTGCCAGGCCCGGGGCTCTAGTAAGCGGAGCACTGCTCTCTGGCTGTGCCAGGTAAGCGCACCACGTGTGGCTATTGTGTGTGTGAGAGAGAGAGAGAGAGAGAGAGAGAGAGACGGGGAGGGAGCGGCTGTACCGGCTCTTCTTCCAGCTGTGGCGGCGACTCCTCCCTTCCCTGACGGGGGGCGCCATGATTCCCAGCGCCGTACAGGGCAGATGTAGCGTGCCGTGCTCTTCCCCCTAGGGGGTTGTGCCAGCCACCCCGAGGAGGAGCGGTGTGTCCGCTGTGTCTCCCCTGGTCAGGAGGTGCTCGGTGTCCGCCGCTTCTCCTCTACCGGGTGTCAGTGCAGCTGCTCGTCCCTTTCCTTCCTCTGACTTCTGTCTACACGTGTATCTCACTTTGTTCGAGACTGGAAAGCCGACAGTGTTCTGTTATACTGGCTGCAATGTTATCCAATGAGGGCGCTGCGGATGGATGCTCAGCTGCCTGGGAGCGGGAATTGCCTTCCCTATGGCATTGGCCTCTGTATCACGGACAGTGATTGGGCACACGATCCTGCCCCTGCTCAATCCTCTATTACCTTTATACATATCCCACAGTGGCAGTTACACATCTGCATTGGCATATGACTAGATGAATAATATTAGATTGAATGGATCCACACATACAGCACTACTCGGTAAAGTAGTATACATAGGGGTTATCACCACCACTGGCCATAGCCCCTTTTTGAGACTACATGGCACATCATCCCAATCACATTGCCAGCCCCCCTGGACTTGATTGCTTGAGTCACATCCTTCCCTACTCCACACAGTGTGGAGAAGACCATCGTTGTGATCAGGAGTAAAGTTTCTGTGCTTTGTAGCAGTCCTTCACACAAAACGTATAGATTTTTTATGATTTACACACCCAGTGTGTTTTTGTAAACTATAAACTTTCCTGAATTTGGGCTTTAATAGAAAACTAAACCGAAACCTTTTTTGGCTTTAGTCCTCCTTTTGGGTCACAGGAGTACATTTATTAATGTCGTCCTGTGACTGAAAGTCAGCATCTAGTGCAGGGGTAGCCAAACTCCAGCCCTCCAGTTGTGGTGGAACTACAAATCCCATGAGGCATTGCAAGATTTTCACAGCCAAAGACATGACTCCCAGAGATAGATGCATCACAGGATTTGTAGTTTCATCACAGCTGGAGGGCCGGAGTTTGGCTACCCCTGATCTAGTGGGTTACTGCCTGCTGTATGCTGACCGTGTAGAGCCGGGCTGCAGTTGTCAGGATCCACCCCCATGCTTGATTGACACCTGGCTGTGCGCGCCACCTCCCCTCTCTATCCCCCAGTGAGCCCTGGAGGAATAGAGAAGGGGAAATTCCCACAGGAGGGCAGTGACTGACGGCTCTCCACATGGAGAGACTGCAAGCTGAGTGATCAGCAGTTCTTGAGCTATAGAGCAAGGGTGTGACAGCTGCAGTATCACACGCCAGCCAAACCTATTGGAAGAGTACATTTCACTCTTCCAGTACCTATCCTTTAAGTTGCTTGTGCACTTAGATTTAATTTTTTTGTTAAGCTAGTGGCTTGAGCAGAAAAAAACAGCATGGGTGGATAAATATCCCACTGTGGCTATTGTATTCTGACAGCTAGATTGCTTTGCTTCAGGTCTGCCTGTGGCTATACTTGCTGCTGGGAGTGTGTAAAAACGCATTTCTCCATGGCCTGCTAGGACAAGGAGGCACACAGACGACATGAAAATAGGGCAGCAATATTGGGACCACACAAAGGAGGAGGAAAATGAAAGCTTTAGTAGAAAAAGAAGTGGCATCTAATTTTAAAGTGACATTATAGTCAAACTTTTTTGTTCCCCCTTCCCAATCCTGCTGTAGGGACTTACCTTAAAGGAGAACTATGAGGTGAGTGCTTTTCACTAAGCCTCATAATTTGAGCCGACCGGTTACACTGAAACTGTCACAGGTCGGCTCAGTAGATCGGGAAGTGTGCAAACGCATACCAGCGTTTGCTCACTTCTCGATCCTGTCACTGCAGAGGGGGGTGACCTGGATTCTAGTCTCCCCTGTCCGATCCTCCAGCGCTGACTGGCGTTGGGGGGGGGGGGGGGCGCTAGTTTGTGTCCTCCCGTTACCCTTCGGAGAACTATGGTGAAAAGCCCTAAGCCCTTTCTCCTTTTAAATGATGTCTCTTAATCCAATCATGTTCTTCTTTCCTGTAGTTTTTAGCTGTTCCTCCTGCGCTGGTGTGGGTCTCCGATCCAGAGCTGACTCCACTGTCCTCTTTTGTTTATGTCCCGCTGTGTCTGTGCTGGTGCATGCTGCTCCATAGACTTACCTTGTGTCTCTCCTCGTCTCCCGGTTGAACATCTGAAGCGCACATGCGACCGCCCCAAGATCCTTTGCGACCGCCTGAGGCTTCAGCTTTTCGGACGGGAGCGCGTGGGGAAGACACAGGTATGTTTAAAGTCCTTTTTAAAAATAAAAAAAAATGTTTTTGCATATATCTACTTCTTGCTAGCAGTTGACGTATGCAAAAACATGCAAGGGTTTAATAACCCTTTAAGTCTGAATATCTGCTGCAGGGAATTTAAAAAAATACTATTGGGTAGAGTAAAGAAGAATTGACACCCCTTCAGAGATTTGAGGATATACAGCCGAGTGATGCACAGATAAGATACATTTTTTAATAGGGTATGTGAATGCATTTAAGATTTAAATCCAGAGTTTAGTGTCACTTTAATTTCCACAGACTTGCTCGTATAGAGATATACAAGAATAAGTTCATTTTTTTTTAAAGTTCACTACATTCCCAGCACTGAAATGGTCCACCTCTGACTAATTTTCAGTACACCTACTTAATCACCTTCCAGGATCTTGGCGGTACCAGCTGTGAAATAATAACCTGTGTTGCATTGCTTCTTCATTCTAACAATAGTGTTCAATAATTTAAAAAAAACGTGCATGCACTTTTTTTGCAATCACACTGGAATGCAGGGCATTGCAGTAACATGCATTCTGGTGCGGGCAATCATACTGAGAGCGGGAGCTGGGTCTGTGGTGCTGTTGAAATAAAGGGCACTGTCACACCCCTTCCCGCCCCAGTACAAAGTGAGGGTTTGATTAAGAGATCCACTGCTTTCATCCTACGAGACTGTGCAATGAACACACTGGATGGTGTGAACGGGCCCTTACAGCACAACTGTCCAAATATTAGGATTGCAGCATGGCTGTAACCTACAAGCAACATGACTTGCAATTTTTTGAATTGCCAGGCTTAAAGTGCCCATACACTGTTCGACACTGCCGCTTTCAGCAGCCTTTCAATTGGCATCCCTTGATCAACTGATCAAAGGAGCCGGCAGCCAATGAGCTACCGACTCTTGTCGGGTGTTCTGACAGGTGCCGCCAACCGACTGTTTAATCTTGATTCATTATTGAAAAAAAGTTTTAATACTACTTTAAATCCTTTGCATGAAAATGGATATTCAGGTACATGGCTATCAGAATAGTGTAAAAACAGAACCATTAGACTGACTGTGTTGAAATATTACACCCACCACTGGTGGTATACTAACAAGTGGACTCCTTGGCAATAAAGGCTGGTTTACATTTGTCAGAGTTCTCTGAATATTCTCAGATATGCAAGGGTTAAATAGTTTTGTTCTTTTTTTTGTATGGAAAAAAAAAAAAAGCGGTACCTGGTGCTGGCATGTGAGTATTTAGAGTAACAAAGGGGTGGATTTTCTTAGGAGCCAGCTCCATTGACAGCTAGAGAAAACCTCAAACATTAGGTGCCTGCTGTAATTAAGTGGCATTGTCAACCTGTCTCCTAGGATCTGTCCAACCCTGGAGAACATAATGTGGAACAGTCATGTTTAGACTTACCGGAGAGGTGTCAACAGTTTCACATGCTCTTCAAACCAGCAACAAGGCCCATGTAGGATTATGGGTGCCAAGAAAATATGTGGACCTTTCGATGTTTAGATGACTGAGCTTTTTTTTCCCCCGGTTTCTGTACTTTAGTGACTTGACACACTTTTTAAAATATTTTTGGTGTTATTTTTTTCCACGACATTTATGTACTTTTTACGAAGTGTACCCACACATTATATATTTGTTTTTTAGAGGACATATGTGATGTAAATATATAGCCCATAAACACCTCACATTCCTAGGATTTCAGAAATGTTTCTGTACTTCTTGGCCTACAACTAAAAGCTAACATTTAATTTTTTATTCTCTAAAAACGAAGTGGTCACCTAGCACAGGGGTGTGGAATTCCTATCGCCCGGGACATGCAGTTTCGGGTGCCGGGCGAGTAGTTTTTTTGTACACTTAGCCCCGCTTCGGGACAAGCAGAGCTAAGTGTACAGTGTGGATCCGCCGCTCGTTTTCAAGTGATCTGATCATTTATCAGATCACTTGAATGAAACGAGAAGCGATTCTGTCCCCCTCGTGGTTTTCGGGATCCCCCGCTCCTCTGGCGGACCCGAGACCACGGAACATGAGTTCACCATAGAGCCCGCAGAGCAGACGAAAAACGTCCGTTTTTCGTCTGCTCTGTGTTATCACTGAGACCGTGGCGCTGTGATGACAGCGCCACCTGTCTCAGCTGTCAGGAACTACACAGAACATCTCAATCTGTGTTGGAGGGCAGGTTCCAGAACCTGTCACCTCCAAACCATCACTACGGTCCGACGCTGGGGTCCCTTAAAAATTTCCTCGGCCAAAAAGGGGTCACGAGTGGAGAAAGTTTAAGAAGGCCTGACTTAGAGGATTTTAAATCCCCATGTAATAGAAATAAAATTAGGTGGGGGTAAAAAATAAAAAAAAAGTTATAAAAAAGTAATTAATTTATATTTTAAAAAAAGTGACAATGTGAAAAATAAAATAAAAAAAATGAAAACCAACCCCGATGCCCCCGCCATCTGCATGCAAATAAACGCACGCATAGGACATTGTGTGTGTGCGTTGAGTGCTGCCACCATTTCACTGTGCCATATTGTGGTAGCGAGGCAGCAGAACTCTCTCACGCACAATGTGCATTAAAGGGCAAGTTCACTTGCCCAGGTAATATGGGAAAATGGATTTACCCGATCAAATCTGGCCCCCGTCTCTCCCAAAAACCCCCCCATCTCCCGGCTATACTTACCTTTCGGCAAACAGTCCTTACCCTCCGCCGGTACAGGTGTACTGTCCTTACCCCGTACTGTCCTTACCATGTACTGTGCATCGCAGTCCTGCCCTATGCATTTTGAATTTGGCTCCCCAAATTCACAACCTCATTGGTCAGCGACTCTTGTACTCGCCCAAATGCTCGATATCTTCTCCAATACCGGAACTTCTGATCTGAGGTAGATTTCCTCTGACCGGCAGTGCCGTAGGTGAGCATGGTGCCAGCTTCCCGTGCAATCAGTAAGCGGGGCAGCGACTAATGACCCGCCTCCCAGTTTCCTGATTGGCCAGGAAGCCAGCTCCTTGCTGATTGGCTGGGAAGCCTGCTTCCCAGCCAATCAGCATCGAGCCGGCTTCCTGGACAATCAGGTCATTACTCGCCGCTGGGTTTCCTGATTGGCCGGGAAACCGGCTTCCAAGCCATTCACAATCAAGCCGGCCAAACAACATGGAGTCGGCTTCCCTGGCAGTCAGGAAGCCGGGTAGCATCTCATTCCCCGCTGCCTGGCTTTCTGATTGCCCGGGAAGCCTGCTCCATGCAAACAGAAGCACCGATACTCGGTGAGTACCGAAAGCAAAATATCGGTACTCGTACTCTATACCCAAAAAGCGGTATTGGTGCATCCCTAGTTTTAATTAAAACAATTTTTTTTTGTATCAGGACAAGTAGATTATTATGAAGGACAAGTAGATTTGGCCCCCGCTTTAGCCCTTGGACAAGTAGTTTTTTCAAAAATGTCCACACCCCTGCCTAGCATACAATGTAACCAAATGTCTCTAACTGTCGCACTTACGGGCAGCAACATACTTAAAAGTCATCATGGGGGGGCTAAAAAAATAACCTTTAAGTGTGATAAACAAATCTGCTAAATGTTAGAGTACAAATATATTGTGTATATAATTTTTTATTTTGTAAAAATATTTTAACTTTTTTTTTTTTTATATACTTCCTTTTGGTGTCAATTATATCAAGCAATTACTATGACTGCTTGATAATGTAATAATTGTTTTTACATTTGTGGCTATTAGGCTGCTCCAAACTTAGGAACAGCCAATAATAACCTTGGTGATACTGATCATGACCGCATGTCAGGCTCAGATCTCACAAAGGCTCCTGATCATTCCCAGACGATGAGACTACTCGAAACATTGTTCCCGCAAAGAAATATATTGTTACATGTTTCTATGCTGAAGAATGTAACACATAGGATCTCTACAAAGCTGTCAAAATATAAATAGCAGAGAGGTGTGCACACTGTTCTGCTTTTTCACCTGTCAAATACCAGATTGCTGATAGCGATCTGCTATTTGTAACAGCTTAATTCTTTTATTAATGGATGGTTACTGCTGATTGTCAGCAGTTACCGGCATTCCTGAGTCCCGAATAGCTGCTCACAGTGTATGCGAGCAGTCATTTGCGCACTTCACGATGGAGCTGTATCTGGGCTTTTAACATCTTATAAGGGGACACTACTCAAAGTGAGTATATAATTATGCCATGGGTGGACAAATCCATATGGAATTGAGGAGTCAGTCTGTCCAATCTAGGAGTCAGCAGGTCTTTTTAAGAGCCAGCTCCATTGACAATAGAGAACCTCAAAAGTTAGTTGCCAGCTGAGCAATGGCTACCTGGCTCCTAGGATTTTATTTTTATTTTTTTTGTAGCCCTGGTGTGTGCAAATAACCTAATCCTGTACTGATGAATGCCTTGCAGTGGAATTGATGGGTGGGGCCTTCTCACAAATGGAAGTGATGTCATATTACTTCTGCTGCTAGTAGATTCTAAGTACAGAGATGGTACAGTTATAGTCGCACAACCGTTGAAACAATGCTGCATACAAATCAAATGGCATCAGTGATCCCTAAACTGTCTTTGGCACTCAAATACATTTTTTTTTTTATTGAAGAACTATGGGGTCAGGGCTTTTCCTCATAGTTCCCCTAAGGGTAACGGGAGGACACAAACTAGTGTCCTCCCGTCACCGTAAGCTCAGTATACCGCAAGCTACAGCTCGCGGTATACTGAGACGCCGGAACTGATCCCGACAATTATGTCTGGATCCGCACAGCTGCGTGAGTGACAGCTGGCTCTGCCTATCTAGAGGCAGAGCCAGCTGTACCCGCCCCTGTCCGTTCTGCCAGTCAGCGCTGGGGGATCGGATAGGGGAGGGGGGAATACAGTCCCTCCCCTGTCACGGCTCTTTTTCACAGGTCGGCTAGAACTATGAGGCTGAGTGAAAATCACTCACCTCATAGTTCTCCTTTAACCTGGGGGGGCGGCCCCTTCTTCGGGACGCAGAAGCGATCTGGCGACAGGTAAGTCGCCAGGATCGCTTCTGTTGTAAAGCCGACAGTCGGCTCTACAAGTTTAAACAGAGTCCCGGCGGAAAAAAGTCGCCGGGAGTCTGTTTAAACAGCCCCGATGCTGGCGACGTACACTGTACGTCGTCAGTCACGAAGGGGTTAAGTGTTGTGAGGGAGCTGTATTGATTTCAATTATAGGTCTAGTTCTAATCATTTTTATTTTGTGTGTGTATAGGGTCTCAGCCTGTAGTAGACTCTGTAAGCCACAGACAGCATGTGAATGTATTTTCTTTTACAGGTAGAACAAGTACAATTCCTAAAAACAGTTACTGCAGTTATACAATCAACATTTCATTTCAAACACAGTGCATGCAAAAGAGTGGTGCTTTCATGAGTTATTGGGCAGAGGAAAACAAATTATTAAAAAAAAACATTCCTGTGGCAAATGTAACTTACAGGACTGATTATCTGCTCGTGTGGTCAGTGCAGCTTGAAGACTATCAGTTTTCTTGTATGGTCGTGGGAGAGAAAATATTTAAACACTTGGAATAGGAAACCAATAAGAGATGTTTAGAAGCATGGAAATGTGAGAAATGTTTGTTTTTGAAAGCATTGATTTGTTTGTTTTTTATCAATGTCATGACATTGGTTGAAGCTATTTTTCGGTGGATTTCGAGCGATTTGGCCCCAATAGACTGCCAAAAGAAGCGCTACGTAGCGCAACAAATTGTGCAATGTCGATCCGCTCAAATCAGCGCTGAAAAAGCTTGTAGCTCAGTGTGAAGGGGGTTATGTGGCTGCTTTGGTTCTCGTAAGATGTTATATTTACTTGGACTGCAGTAATCACCACTGAAATGTAAAGGGTTATGCTATCCTCTGTGGTCAGTCCTCAATTAGTAAAAATTTTGTCCTGAAGGACAATGCTTCCAAGCTTACTTTTTGTAGCTGTGCAAAAAGATATGGTTACCCCTTCATAATAAAAAAAAGGCTTTATTTACAAAAATATTTTTTTTAAACTTTAGCTTTTATATTCCACCAAAACCACAGTCACTGTGGCTCTAATGCACCCACCTCACAAGCATGCCCCCATATATGTGGCACCACGGGAGAAATCTCAACTTTGTGACTCCACATACAGTTGTAATGATTTAACCCCCTTTGCAGATCAGGTTTATTGGCAAGGTTTACGGACTACCAGCTGTTTGCAATGAACAATTCAAACAAAAGCAATTGAAATGGGTCAACACAACAAATGTTTTCAACATAGTGTGCTATCCGTAGTGATTGCAATATTGTAAATAATAAAACTATATAATAAAAAATAATATATTACAAGTGATATTTAAATCTGCTAAATAATGAGCGATTGTGATCCTACATGACACTAAACTCTGTGAATAATAAACTTGAATACCTATTTCGTTTGAGTGGAACCCATTATAACACTGTATGTTATTTTAGCACTGCAGTAATGTTTCAACCACCTGTCAATAATCTGGAGAAAATCAGAAAGGCCAGGAAAAGGGTGAAGCAGTTGCTGCTGCAGATTGGTTTAGACACGTGTAGAGAAGCATATGAGGTAAGTAAATTTTTAAGCTTTCTCTGTGTAGCACAAAATCTTGAGGTTTATGTGAATAAATAAACGTAAAGCCATTTTCTGCAAGCAGGTGTCAGATTGTTCCAGATAAAATGACCACTGCAACAGACTGTGATCAGTCAGTTTTACAATTGTTACACATCTTGTTAGTGTAGGTTACAGGCTTGTACTTTCATCTAATTCCAACAAACTGCAGCAAAATTCTTTTTCATACAGAATAATTTCCTATTTCACACTTTATTGACCATAATTTAAGGGACATGTTGGCCCGTACAGTTAAGGGCTGGTTTTTGATGCCGACACAGACGTGATGTATCCAGGTCTATACACTGTCTGTGCGCGGCTGTCAAAACTCAGAGCTGCGGGAAGCAGCTTGTAAGGGCACACAGTTCCTGTGTCGTCTTAGATTTGCATGAACTGCCTGCATGATTCTTCCCGCAGCTCCGTGCGCATAAAAAGACCTTTATGATGTATGAAGCAACATACTCCTTGTTAATGAGGTCTTATTCACATCTTTCTGCTCCTCTCAATTTAGGAATTCATCTATCAGCGCCTTGACAATAGGGACAGGAACCAGTGCTTGGATACAACAAACTTTCCAGTTTTAGCATCCTGGGATTTGGTGGTCTGGATCTGCGAAGTGAGGTGTCTATAGGTTATATGCAGGCACCTTTTGGAGCCTGCATTATAGTGCTGGTGGCTTTGAAATAATATTGGGGTACTGATAGTTGTACCCCTAACATTGGAGTAGGCACATCTGCAGTATGCAATATACATGTATACAGTGAAGGGAATTAATCAGAACTGGAGGAGACAGAATCTGGAGCAGTTGCTCATGGCAACCAATCAACCCCTATCTTTCATTTCTAAAGCTTAAATTAAAAAAGAAGCCGATTACTATAGGCTATACTACATACAGTGCAGAAGCAGCGGTGCAGACTCTTTATGTTCTGCAAAAAAAAAACGCTACAAGGATAAGGTGTCCACAAATACTGATCCACACTAAGTAAGTCTGCTGACGTGTATATTTTTAAAGTTGTTATATAGCCATGTGTAAAGTCTTGTAAGCACATCAAGGGTCATTTTGTTTTGTATGATTTTATGAATTTTTTAATGCTGCGGAATAGTCCCACACCCAGGCCTATGCCCTTCTCTTCCACCTTTTAGTTATCTTATTTTATATAGTAGGATGGTAGGCATTTGCTCTGGAAGCAGGGCTGATCTCCAAAATGGAACATTTTGTGGCCTACTGATGAGTGTCCAGAGCTCCAGGTGCACAGAAAGTCACTTTCAAGTAAATGTAACATTGAGCACCTTATGGTGCTTTTTGCCCTTTCACCATGAAATCTATTTTTGCATTCTTTTTTTGCACACAAATACACATTTTCAGCCTTAAAATTTCTTGGAGCTCCCGAAAGTTTTGTGAAAGCAAAGATCCTAGGAAATGGTGGTAGTTGCAATTAATGTTGCACACTATTAGTGCAGCAGTTTTTTTTTTTTAACCCAATTTCCAGTAGAAAAATGCATTCTTAACTTTAGTGAGGTGCATAAAGTAAATGGCAAACATGTCACGTCTCAAAATTTGCGGGCTTGATAGTTAGCGGGAATAATGGCCTAGACTTGTTGCCCTTTACACTGGTGTGCATGGTGATACACAATGTGCGTGTTTGGTGCAATCATTGTACATAATTTTGGGTGTTCTGTGATAGCTGATTAGTGATGACAGGTTCTCTTTAAGGAGATATTAGGAGTTTATTAGACCCCTAATGTCACCTTTGCAGTCCAGTGGAGGTAAGCAGAGATCGAGCTTGATTAGCTTCATCCTTGGCTACAGCCGGGGGTACATGACAGGGCTGACATGCTGCTGGAATTGCTCAGACAGCTTTTTTTAACTTTTATAATTCTTAACATTTTTATTTTATTTTGCTCTTTTATTAATGTAAAAATTTTTTTTCCACTCCTGTGTGATAGCAATAAAGTTAACAAGCCCCTTTGTGATAGCATTTGGAGGCTACAGGCTCATTTTATGGAATCTGTCACCTCCAATACAGGAGTTTGATCTCGTGTGACGGCTGAGACAGGAAGGCTGTGAGCAGACCGGAGAACTGCTCCCTGCTCTCCATCCTGATGTCATTTGCTGTGGTCCCGTGTTCCCCAGAAGAGGGGGGACCCTGAAAACCATGGTGGGGGAGAGGGGCGTCAAGACAAGCAGGCTAATTCTAAGTGATCCCAGTAGCTGCAGAGATCACTTGTACTAAAAGTGTGGCTCCTCTGTTCTACTTTTCGGGCAAGCAAGGATGCATGTACCGGTAGAAAAAAAAAACAGAAACCTGCGCTGAGAACATGTCCCTGCTGCCGGGCGATAAGAATTCCACACCCCTGAAGTGAATGTGTGGGGATGATTTGATGAGATGAATTTTTAGAGTTCATTTAATGGCAAACATGGGAGGCGATAGGCAGATTTTTTTTTTTGTCTGCATTTTCATTCACTTTTTGCCTTGGAAGTAGAAGGAAATTTTGACAAAGTGAGGAGCAATACCCTGCTCACAGCTGTCACCATAACTGATATCACCATTGGAAGATTTCTCCTCTCATCCTGTTTGTGTGACAGCTGTAAAATGTTTAATTTTGTGTCATTTTCTGTCTGACAATGGTCATCAAGTTACAACCGTTTGTATTTCCCAAACACTCCTCCACCCTGGCTAGATTCAGTGCTCAAGGGAGGTTCTACTTGTGTTTCTCAGTACAGCTCGCTGAACATGAAGAAAATGGCTTCTGGAGTAGAAAGGTGGCTGAACTTTCTATGAGGGCTCATATTTACAGTGGGTATAGAAAAGAATCACCCCCCCCTTTAAAAATAATCGCATTTTGTTGCTTTGCAGCCTGAAATGAAGACACAGTTTTTGTTGTATTTAGCTATATTTATTCAGTGCAACTTATAACATCCAAGTGAAAGATATAACACCAACAGGTCAGAAAATGATAAAAAATTCAGTCAGAATCACGAAGTTGGAAAAAGGATCACCTAAAACGGTCTTCATTTCAGGCTGCAAAGCAACAAAATGTGATTTATTTTTAAACAGTCGATTTTTCTTTTCTATGCCCGCTGTGTGTAATTTTTATGTTGCTTCCAGTGTCCATGTCTATATGTATTACTTCTGTTGCAGTAGATAAAAAAAATTTAAGTACTGTTTGGTTATATGTCACTGTTCATCCAGCAATTGATGCATATTGAATTGTGTGTGTGATCTGTTTTTGTCATGCAGTTCTTCAGGCCTTGTTTAGACCAGGCGGCTGAGAGGTGGTAAAACCAGGCGGTTGGTTCCCATTTACTGCTTCTCAGCCAGCTATGTTGGCATTTACAGCAGGACAGTGCTGTATACATTACTGCAGCCATGATGCTTTGCAGTGCTAAATGCTTGGCACATGGTTGCTGCGCAGTAGTTTAAATGAAAAATCCCCTTTTGTGATCCAAATAAAACAAAACACTGGCATTAATGAGGTGATATTATAACCTCCTGAATGTCGGGTAGCCCTGTGACACATGAACCACTGCAATGGAGCCTGTCACACCTCTCTGCTTCTGTTCACCTCAGGGAGGAAATGAACCAATGCTGAGGAGTTAATTAGGGATGGTTTTTAAAGCAAAACTCCAGCTATTTACGTCTTTTACCTGCATTTTTTTAGCCGGTCTGGTAATATTACAGCTTTCTAGTCTTCTTGCGGATGACATGACTAAGCAGCACTCGTGGAATGATGTGTGAGCACCGTCCTGGAGTACTGTAAGTCCAGGCTGCGTGATAAAACAAGTGTGTGTGTGTCCCCGGGGCCTCTCCAGCCAGAACTCCGGCCAATCTGGAGACAGGGCAGCGTGTAATGACGCACTGCCTGGCTTACTGATACCGGAAGTACTCGTGCTAGGCATCGGATCATTTGGACGAGTACTCACCCAAATACTCGGTATCGGCACCAATATTGATACTAGTTTTGGTGCATCCCTAATTTTTTTTTTTTTTGTGTGTGTAAATATAATTTAAATTATGGGGGGTTTACAAATTTGTAAAAAGTTCTTTAACTGACAACATATACAGATCAAAGTTCACCCTTTTGATCTGCATATTAATGAAGCAAAATGCAGTTGTCATTTAGACAGGAAATTGGCAGTTAAACGGGAGGGGATTAGACAGGAAATTGGCAGTTAAAAGGGGGGACAACGACAATGTGTGCTATGTATGCTCTGTGTATTGTGGTGACGTATTTTTGAGTGTGGTTAGTGCATCTTTGGTCCTCAACCCATTATAAATGGCCATATGATGAATGTACAAAACTGCATGTTGGGAG